AATTATAGACACTATATCGAATAATGTCCGCGTCTGCCAGAGGAAATCACGGCGGAATCATCCAATTAACAAAATACCTAATTTTCAATGAAATTCCCATTATATTGCATATGGGGATAAGCTTTAATATTAAAGCATTTTATTAAAACGTAAAATATTAAAACACTGTAATGCATCCAGTGCTCGTCAAATAGCGTCCGTGTTTGTACTGCAAACGTTTCGTGCGCATTTGCAGCTCGGAAACAAATTATATCATTTCCTACCCTGCTTACCACCGTCGCAATCGGTAAATATTCCACCGTGCAAGCAAGAATTTAAAAGTTATCGCTAACCGTATAGTTGATGACATTTATCGATATTATAATACTGTAATGAAAATGAACGTTATCTCATTATTGTTGTGATCGAAAGAATTTATTATAAAATAAAAAAGTTCTCTTTTTTATTCTTTTATCAATATATTATTTTAATTTTACAGAGATTGTATATCATATAATTATAGTTTCCGCACAAAGTGAATACAAATATAAATATCTATTCTAAAATATAATAATTAATATTTTTATAGTTATTAATTTTAAAAATTGATTCTTTAAAAATAAAGTATTATAAATGATTTTTTTTTAAACTTTCACACTTTGTTCTTTTTTGTAGAATATAAATCATAAATTATTTTTATTTTTTAACTGCAGAGAGAGAGAGAGAGAGAGAGAGAGAGAGAGGAGGGGGGGTAGAAAAGTAGATTTTATTTTTAAAAATCTGTTAGTAAATTATTTTTTAGTGAAAAGCTTTATTTTTTCAAACATGAATAATTATTATTACAAAAAAATATAAAATAAATAAAGCAGCTATGTGTAAAAAAAATAGATTGGGTATTTTTAGCATAAGAGTGTCGGTGTATTTGACGTATAAACAAACTGTCTCTTCTCTTTCCCGGAAACCGCGAGAACATCGCAAGTTCTGTCGTCTATTTTTACAAGTCGACCCTTGGGGGTCAAGATTTGTGAGGACGAGGGATGCCTCTGTCTTTACGCTGTCGACGTGAAACATTTGTCGCGATAAAATCCTCATGGTTACAGGCATCACCGGATCGTCTTTTGTCAAAACAAATGAACCAATCGCCCTCGAATTATATTCAAACGATAAAAATTGAAAGATTAATTTGTTTTATTTTATATTATTATACTTCTATGCTTTTTTACACGACACGATCTTTTTTTTAATAATTTATATTTATATATTTGATATTTTGAAGTCATTTATTTCTGTAGAATTACAGAATCGTAAAAAATTAACGAGAGATTAAAACAAATATCTTCGCAAGTTATTCGTTATATGTCGCAAATTCTTTTTATTTCTGTAGAAGACGTTTGACGTTATTATCGGAAAATAGCGGCAGGTGTAAGCACTCAGAAGCAGTTTATTTTCGTACGCTCTATGGAATTCATGTCAGGATGCAATATTTTTTTCTGATTCATATCTTTAATTATATTGTTTATGTAATTGGTAAAACTTCTTTGTTAATTAAAAGCAAGATGCAATTATGAATTAGAGCATATTATTTTATAATATTTTATATGATCGATAGATGTGAAAAATTTTTATACAAAAATAAATTATGTAAAAATTAATTTAGGCCAATGATTTTCATATATGTTCCAAGTTTTAATCAAATTTTTACAAAGGATAATTATGATTAATTTATTATCTATTAAGGTTTTATATGCAAATAATATATTAGCAAAAATATAAGCGAGAGAAAGGCAAAATAGGACTTTCAGTTAAAAAATTATTGCGAAAGTAGTATCGAATTAACTGACGTGGGGTAATCAAGATTTCTCATTAAAAAGCAAAAACGCATTAAAAATTACAGCGTTGATTAAAACTTTCAAGAGCTTTCAAGAGCTTTCGACCAGCGTGTTTATCACCGGAAGGATGATGCCTTTTTAAACGTGATAATTCGATTTATCACTCGTCCTGACATCGATATCGTCGTATAAGTAGACATGCCTAACTAGATTTTCACGGTATCGATCGTCAATCTATCCAATCTATTTATGGCTATTTGCAGCAGACGAAGAGCGATTTATTATTACAGGGAAGTGCAATTGTGAGATTTCATCGTGTGAGTAACAAGACTAATATTGAAACGACGACAATTTGAGAACTATTCGAAATAGAAGGATGTATGTAATTCGAGGCATAAGAATATATAAATATTCGTATTTTTTTAAAATCTCTTTTTTTTATGTCGTGGCTTTGCAAACATTATGACAGAAATAAATCTTGTATTATCGGAAAATAATATATTGTTAATGCGTTACACGCATGTAATTTATAAGTAATTTGAGAGTAATATGTTTACGTAATCTATTTTACAAATTTGGAAGAATGCATTTAATTTAATGTAATAAAAATTTTTAATAATTATTTAGTGAGCACTTCAAGGTCCGTTAATTTCGTAACAAAAAATTTTCTGAAACTATTAATATTTAGAATGATTTGACATATAAGGAGACTCGATCATAAGGGCATAAGCTCCGAAAAAAACTTCAATTAACTGCAATAAACTGATAAATCTCGTATCATTTCTTCTTTCGAATCAATTTTCTTCATCTCGTCGTCGCGACATTAATTCCGCCGACTTCCGTTATCCGGTGCTTAGTAAGGCTCACTGTGATTATCATTCAGGAATTTTGAAGTGTACGCAAGGTGCATGTAAGCATTCACGCGTCGTCAACTTTGCGTTATTTTATCGTGGGAGGGGGGAGGCAGGGTCATAGTAACTTGTACAATAAAACTCGAGGCATCCAATTATACATAGCGCGCCTAGATAGTATTCTTTGCGACCAATCCAGAAGCAAAAATTTGCTTTGTGTGTTTCACAAAAATTGTGAAAAGTGCTACGATTTAAATAAATAACAAATTGACTTACAATTAAAAATCAATTTAATAAGAAATATATGATAGGATAAAGAAAAAGTAAATTATGGAACTATAATATTTTTGCTGGAATATTTTATAATTCATAGAATTAAATATTTTGATATTTATACTTGAAGTTAATTAAATCAGTTAGGATAAATTAATTAATGAAATCGTCATTTTTTTGTATATTGATTATTTCCTAATATTTTTCAACAGAATATTCGCTATATTTTCATATTATCCGGCACTGTTATCATTACGGTATTATATAAATCAAGATACAATTTTAAACAGTCGTAAAGATAGCACGACACATTGACCATACGATGTAAACAGAATTCCAGCGTGTTTCTTCGGGCCTCTCGGCGTTATTGAAAATAAATTTTCAATATATGACAAATGTTCGCCGCGTTTGATCTATAAATTGTTTGTAAATAATTCCGTCTATTATATCTAATCGATAAATTTGAACCGCAGTTGTAACATTATCCCTAAAAGTCGACGCGCTTAGATTTCAATTTAGATTCGACAATTTAAACGCGTCTCGACGACACCGAGGACCCG